TGGCAGGTGCAGGGTCTGCTGGCACGGGTGCTGGCAGCCTTGCAACTGGCACAAACTGTGTAGCCAGCCTGTGGCCCTTTAAGGGCTCCGGGGCCGGGAGGGGGGCAGACAAGTTTGCCTGGTGTTGCCCAGAGTGGCCACCAGGGCAAGCTGGGAAGGGCTAGCCTCCCACTAGTTTGAATTAAGGGTCTACACAGCCCTTAATTCGAACTAGCTAGTTCGAACTAGGCTTAATCCTCGTAAAATGAGGTTTACCTAGTTCGAACTAAATGCTCCGTTAGTTCGAATTAAGTTCGAACTAACGGAGCGCTAGTGTAGCGCCTAGGAAAGTTAGTTTGAACTAACGTCCGTTAGTTCGAACTAACTTTGTAGTATAGACATACCCAGGGTGTATTTCCCTACTGCACCTTTTTGGGTATAGCTTACTCCGTTTTATATGCTGGTCTCACATTGTACATAGTGTAACTGGGGAATGAGTCATAGAGGGAACAGGTGCAGAGCAGTTGTATAGCTATATGAGCAGGCTATAGTCATTTTAAACTTTACCAGTTTGCCCCCTCACTTTGTCTTTGTGCACTGGTGTACCCTGTGTGTTAATTTGTGTTGTATTTATGATACCATTGCTTTTGGAACTGTTGCAAGAGCAACATAGTTTATTATTCTGATGTTTGTTTCTCACAGATCCCTGTCCCCAGTCTTATTTCATTTGCAGAGGCTCTGGAGGTTGGTTACAGCAAGTACAAAAATCCATACCACAATCTGATCCATGCAGCTGATGTTACCCAAACTGTGCATTACATAATGCTTCATACTGGCATCATGGTAAGAACTACTTCAGAATGAGAAAAGTTTCTCAAACTCACTGTTGTATTGGTATATACATTGGTGTTGATATGTAGGTTTAATGTCCTATATATGTCAATGATTTTAAAGGGAGCTTTCTCTGGAGATGGCCTCAAACTTGGGAACTGGTTCTGAACCTCATGTCTTTATAGAGGTTGCATGAAAATCACAGGTATAGTTGCAATCGAAATTGGGGACTGAAAATCTAGAATAGGGCTGCAAATGTAGGCATTCAGAATTGCAAATCAAGCCTGGGATTTAAATATCTTGTGCTTGATTTGCATCTTCCTGGCCGGGAGCCATTTTTGAAATTTACAAACCCGGAATAACTGCCCTCATCTACACGCGGCAGTGAAATGGGCATTTGAAATAAAGCCCTATTTCGAACTACCTGTTATGCCTCTTGCAATGAGGTTTAACAGGTAGTTCGAAATAGGGCTTTATTTCAAATGCCCATTTCACTGCCGCGTGTAGATGAGGGCAGTTATTCCGGGTTTGTAAATTTCAAAAATGGCTCCCGGCCAGGAAGATGCAAATCAAGCACAAGATATTTAAATCCCAGGCTTGATTTGCAATTCTGAATGCCTACATTTGCAGCCCTATTCTGAAATAGGCTGCAAGTGTAGACATACCCTAAATGAGAATTTTGACAAATTTCTAATACTTGGTTTTGTTGTGTGGGCCATTCTGCAGAAAGATTTAAGCTGCATACCATAATGCGAATCTCAATCAGAATCTGAGGTTTTGGTGTGGGGCCATTTCTAGGCACTGGGAGAAGGATCAAGTCCAATGACAAAGCAAAGTTTGGTCTTAAGAGTGTAGGCAAACTTGATTTACTTTCAGAAGTATCTAAAGTATCAAGTATTTATTTCCAATACTGTAAAGTTTAACAGTAGTGCATCTTACAAAGTGCGGGTCACATTCTGCTGTCTTTTCTCAGGTAGAATTCCCACTGGTGTCACCGAGAGCGGTGACTTCAATTCTCACCCTGAGTGATTATTTACTGCATGCATGTAATTAATGAAAGACATTATTGACACTGTATACATACGAAAACTAGAAGTGCTGCAGCCTGCCAAGCAAAATTATCTTTTCTGTGTCATCAGAAAATAAAATTTCCTATTGTTGCCATTGTCCTACAATGTTTTAATGTCAGGAGTTCTGTTCATGTATTGATGACATTCACTAAGAGGCTGAATCAGGAGACTGTCCCATGGTTAGGACTCTAGCCTGGAACTCAGCATACCCAAAGCCGGCCCACAACATTTTGGCACCTGAGGTGGGGAGCTCAAATGATGCCCTCATGCCCCTTCACTGCACCAGCAGCAGACACCATTTTCTACACTCTGGATCCTAGTGGCACCCTCCCGCCCCCAGTCTGGCACCTGGGGTGGCCGCCTCAGTTTGCCTCATGGTAAGGCCAGGCCTGAGCATACCCAGCTTCAGTTCCTTGTTCCACTTAACACTTCCTGTCAGACCTTGCACCAGTCACTTTGTCCTTCTACAGTTCAGTTCCCCATCCGTAAAATGGGAATAATATTAGTACTTCCCTTCTTTACAGGTGTGAGAGGAGAATAAATACATTTAGAAGATAGTGAGGTGATGAAGGCCACAAAAGTACCTTGTGTAACTAGCTAGTGCCACGTCAGTTTGGGGAGCTTGACAGCACAATGCACAAATGTTATGTTTATCTTCTTGTGCTTCTGTCACTTCATTAACTTGTAGCCTTATTTACCTGATGAGAATTACACACTATACTGCTCCCAAGCTAATTGCTTTCACAGCATGCATCCCTTCTAGTGCCTTTTTCTACCCCACGCTTCTCTCTGATGTGTGCCTAGAATATTTTACCCACCTTTGATGTATTTCTATAACGGATGCCCACAGCAGTGGATTTATCAGTCGAGGCATGTCATGTGTAGTCTTTCTGTGTTTTCTCTAGCTTGTGGGACTGATACATAGAATGCCAAACCTTACAGAGCACTGATCATATTTTGTCCCTGTACACCTCTCTGGGCCATGGATTAAACAAGATAGAATAAAGCTAGGTTTTAGAAACCCCTGAACTTTGAATGCTTTTAACTGAAGGCATACATTTGAGCAGTGTTAGTTTTACAAATCTCCAGAGAATTGCTGTTTTCCAGTTTGCCAAAAGCCTAAACAGTAAAAATTCTCTTTTCCCAACTGTAGTATTTATTAAATGCCTCCCCACCCCACCAAAAGAGGGAGAGAAGAAAAAAAACCCACTTATGCTATTGGACCACTAGAGTTACGGAATTAAAGAAATAAAAAATAAATCATACTAATTAGTGGAAATGAGGTAGGTTTAGAAGCTAAAATAGGAAAAGAACAACTTAAAAATTACTTAGAAAAGTTAGACGTCTTCAAATCGCCAAGGCCGGATGAAATGCAGCCTATTGGTCAACTTTGAAAAGTAATGGAATTCAGGAGAGATTCCAGAAGACTGGAAAAGGGCAAATATAGTATCCATCTAGAAAGAAAGGATATAAGAACAACCCAGGAAACTACAGATAGGTTAGCTTAACTTCTGTGCCAAGAAAGATAATGGAGGAAATAATTAAGCAATTCATCTGCAAACATCTAGAAGATAATAAGGTAATAGCATGTATTTGTAGAGAACAAATCTGGTCAAATCAGTCTGATAGCTTTCTTTGATAGGGTAACAAATCTTGTAGATAAGAGGGAAGAGGTGGGCATGGCATACCTAGACTTTAGTAAAGCGTTTGATACAGTCTCACAAAACCTTCTTATCAACAAACTAAGAAAATACAACTTAGATGGAGCTACTACAAGGTGGTTGCATAACTGTTTGGATAACTGTTCTCAGAGAGTAGTTATTACGAGTTCACAATCATGCTGGAAGGGCATAAAAGGTGGGGTTCCGCAGGGGTCTGGTTTGGGACTGGTTCTCTTCAATATCTTAGATATTGACGGAGACATTATATTTACTGAGTTTGCAGATAATACCAAGCTGGGAGGGGTTGCAAGTGCTTTGGAGGATAGGGTCATAAATCAAAATGATCTTGACAAACTGGAGAAATAGTCTGAGGTAAATAGAATAAAGTTTAATAGGAACAAATGCAATGGACTCCAGTTAGGAATGAACAATCAATTTCACACATACAGAATGGGAAGTGGTTGTCTAGGAAGGAGTACTGCAGAAAGGAATCTAGGGGTCATAGTGGACCACAAGCTAAATATGAGTCAACAGTGTGACACTTGCAAAAAAAAGCAAACATGATTCTGGGATGCATTGATAAGGGTGTTGTGAACAAGACACGAGAAGTCATTTTTCAGCTCTACTCTGCACTGATTTGGCCTTCGTGTTGTGTATTAGTCTCTGAGTATTGAGTATTATGTCCATTTCTGGGCACCACATTTCAAGGCTGATGTGAATAAATTGGAGAAGGTCAAGAGAAGAGCAACAAAAATGATTAACGGTCTAGAAAACATGACCTATGAGGTAAGACTGAAAGAAATGGGCTTGTTTAGTTTAGAAAAGAGGTGATAGAGAGGGGACATAATAGCAGTTTTCAAGTATCTAAAACGGTGTTACAAAGAGGAGGAAGAAAAAATTGTTCTCCTAGGCCTCTGATGATAGGACAAGAAGCAATGGGCTTAAACTGCAGCAAGGGAGGTTTAGGTTGGACATTAGGAAAAACTCCCTAATTGTGAGTGTGTTTAAACTCCCTAATTGTGAGTGTGGAATAAATTGCCTAGGGAGGTTATAAAATCTCCATCACTGGAGATAAGTAAGTGCAATTTGGATAGACATCTATCAGGTATGATCTAGATGGTACCTGGTACTGCCCTAAAGACAGATGACTGGACTTGATGTTCTCTTGAGATACCTTCCAGTTCTAGTGTTCTATGATTCTAAGATTAATTCACCCAGAGTAAACATACAGTGGAATCTGTTATCCAAAACTTTCAGATAATAAGAGAAGCTGCTATCTTAATTCAGTCCTTGGACTCATAGGGTATGTCTACACTTGCACTTTTTTTTGAGAAAGGGATGCAAATGAAGACATTCAAAATTGCAAATGAAGACGTGATTTAAATATCTCACGTTTCATTTGCATAATTGTATTATGGTGCTATTTCGAAATAGTGCTATTTTTAAAAAAAATGCAGAGTAGATGCAGTTATTTCGGGAGAAGGCCCTTCCCTCGAAATAACTCTTTAACAGTTATTTTGAGGGAAGGGAGTTCTCCTGAAATAACCGTATCTGCACCATGTTTGTTATTTTGAAATAGCGCCATAACGCGATTATGCAAATGAAGCACGGGATATTTAAATCCTGGCTTCATTTGCAATTTTGAATGTCTTCATTTGCATCCCTCTCTCGAAAGAGGGTGCAAGTGTAGACATACCCTCACTGAAGATCGTGGCATGGGGTAATTCTAATATCTGAAATCAGAGTCAAATAACAGATAAAAATCTCTCCCAAGCCATAATATAGCTCAAATAGCTGAATACCCATCAGAGGAAGTAAACGCTAACAAGGTCAATGTGTCACACCCAGCCAGGTGCCTGTTATATATACAAAGTCAAGGATCATGGATAATGGAGAATTAGTCTCTGATCTTGTATTAAACCACCTGAACTGAAGGGTAGGTTCAATATTATCTGAAGTCTTCTGTGACTCAACTCCTGATGAGATAAGTGGGATTACAATTAGGAACCAATTAATCTGATCTCCGCCCCCCGAAACACATTCTTGTGGAATGCAGAAAATTGGATGGGAACTCTAAAGTCATACTGTGTTTTTCTTTTTAATCTTATGAACAGTGATCAAAGTGGAGAACAAATATTCTGAATCTTCTCCCACCATTAAAAGTGTAGTGACACTCAAACTTTCTTACATTTCCCATCACAACATTTTTTTAATTTTTTTGTCCCACTCCAAGCAAAGAAAAGAGAATGACTGATATAACCATCTTTCCTGTACTAATCATCACCTATCTTGTCCCATCTAGCTCATGTCTTATATTAAAACAAATGTTTGGAAGCTTTATGCTTTGTATTTCAGTCTGCTGAAGGCATCATGTATATATTATCTGAATATTTGACTGAATAACATGTGTTTAATAGCTACGATATTTGTCAGCATACAGTTCCACACAAAATTTGTCTGCAGTCCAGAGACACCTTTGCAAGAAATTCTCTACTAATTATAGAAGGATTTTCCAGAAACTATTTTGGTTTCTAAAAATTATTTGGAGAAAAGAAGCTTAAAGACGGTTTTCTTTTTAGCTTCAGTTGCTAATAATTTATTAGTTTCTATTTAGATATTCTGTTGAAAACATTGTGGAAGTCATTCCCAGCTCTCACTCTAATTTTTAAAATACAAAATACTGTGGAGGTTACTGCTTATAATACAGTAAAACCTGTGTTATCCGGCACACTCAGGGATTAGAGTGTTTCGGTTATCTAAAAATTCCGGTTATCTGAGGGTCCCATCAACCTAGGAAAAACCAATGGACAATAATAGTAAAACTCACATTTTTAATATTGGTAGTTTTGTAGTGTCAGGCAGTTGGTCTCACATTTCTATTTTGAATTAAAGATGATTAGTACTTCTTAAATAAAAAATTGTTAAGACAATCATGGTAAACCAATTCAGACCTGTGCCCCTGAAGATGTGACAGTATTGTGGCTACGGGCAATGCCGGTTAACAAAGTTTTCTGGTTAACAAAGTGCCGGATAACAAAGGTTACACTGTACTTTCTGTTATTCCTTAAATGTAAGTCTACACAGTTTCACTGGGAGTCTCAACATTCAAATAGTCTTACTTTGTCTCAGTATATCCTCCTTTGCTGTTCTTACAAAACTAGTGAACTTTGATTGGCTGTTTTCATCCTTATGAAACAATCTGTAATACTCATACTCAGGCATCTTATGAAACAGTACTTGTATCTTCTATGACACAAACCTTGTGTGCCATAATAATAAGAGTGGGTGAGCAGGTATGTTATGTGTCAAATCCAAAGTGACCTTCAATTGAGTGCAAAATACAACATTGGTGTAATAAATTTTACATTGTATTTTGCCAAATCAGACACATGACTTTGTGAGGTTTATTTGTGGTTGTTAGTGGATTTATATTGAGATGGAATACATTTTGTGTAGACTGAGTAAATGTGTTATGCAAGACAACAGAATATATCCTGTGTCTTTAGAAAGGCATTGCTCAGAAGAGTAGTAAGTAAAAATATATCAAAAGTTGATAAGTATACCAAGCAGATCTCAGTTTTATACAATACTACCATTCTAATATGGCAGTATATTAACTATAGGAAGAAAAAAATACCAGTTTCAAAATTTCAGGATTGGTAAAGCCTGTGTTTAATGTTGATGTTGTACATGGAAAACCACTGTGCGTTGTTAGTTTGAGAGTCAGACCTTACACTAAGTGGGAAATTACAACTGTAACTTAATACCATGTTTTATGTATAGTTTATTTCACAGGAGACAAACATTGGCAGGCTGACAAAAGACCTCATGTTCCAACCCTCTGCCAGATTTATCACACAGGCTTTTATCAAATAATAAATAATTTACTTAATTTTCTGAACATACAAGTTTTACTTTGCTGTTGTACATAAAGGGCTCACGTTGCTCCCAATGAAGTCAACAGAAGCTGAAGGATACTCTCAAAGTGTACAATGCTTTGTGATTTTCAAGATTTTATGACTTGGTAGGAAAAAAAGAGTAAGGTTTAATTAAGCTACATGTAGAAACTTTTCAATGATGTAATATCACAGTTAAGCTATTTTACAAAATGTGACTGATTTTTGCTTCTATTCACTAGCACTGGCTCACAGAACTGGAAATCTTAGCTATGATCTTTGCAGCTGCAGTCCATGATTATGAGCATACTGGGACCACAAACAATTTCCATATTCAGACAAGGTAAGCACCCTTCATCTTGTGATATCCTGTCTGAATGCAGGTGTTGCAGCATGATCTAGAATAAAGGGAGGAAAAGGAAGGCAATTTAGTGGCTTAGCTATTTAGTGCCCTTGGCTGGGGTCAAGATAATACCTTGGTACATGAAAGAGGAAAGTGAGGAATTCTTGGCATTCATTCAGCAAGAAATGCTTCACCTGACCAGCAATTTCTCAACATTAAAGTTCTGCTTCCTAAAATGTTTTGCTTCTTTGGATACTGGTGGTAGTCAGCTTTGCAACCCTTACTTACCCACGTCATCCCTGATCATGTGAGTGGCCTCTTTGGCTTCGACACAGTTAATGAAATTACTCATGTGAGCAAAGAGTGCATATGAGAATAAGGATCCCAGGATCTGGTTGCATAGCTTTGAAGTGAAATCTTCATGTTTGGCTGCTCATTGATATGCAAGGGGTCATTGCAAAATACTTGGAACATGACAAGGATGCCAGCTGTACAGAATATTTCAGATTCTTCTTCTTCTCACTATGCTTCGTACCCACTCCCTTTCTTTTTGTTATTTCGGCCTTAGTAGCTTCCTTTTAATATCCCATTTGGGTATATGTTTGAAGTAGGTCTCCCCATTCCCGCCACCCTCCTCCATATACCTCCTTAAATGCTACTTCCCCTGCAATAGTATCACCATATCCATCTAAACTGTTACTTCAGTGTGTCATATTTGTTGTTGATATTAAGTTGCAAGAGCCTTGTGACACAGGAGGACATTTTCAAAAGCAAATGGCAATTAGGCTTCTGAAGATGGGTGATTTTTAAGGTGCCTTCCTCAGCCTATTTTGGAGAATCCCTACAGTGTTCACTAGAGTCCACTGGCAAGAGCACTGGATTGAGAGTCAGCAGCCCTGCGTTCTAGTCCATGCTCTGCTTTGCTATAAGATTTTGAAAGTCTCAAGCTTCCTCCATGTGAAATGGGGTTTATCTTACAAAAATATTTTCAGATCTACAAATGAATAGCACTGTAAGTGAAAATGTAATGCTAATGCACTAGGGAACAGGTATAAAAGGCATGCCCTGTCTTCCTTAATTTCGAAATAGGGGATGCAGGTGATGTTGAGCCTCTCATAAAAGGGCATATGGAGAAATATAATATTATGATGATTAATAATGATGATGATAATAAAAGTAATAATTTAATTGACTGAAATATATTGTTGCCAAAAGGCCTATAGAATTTAAAAGCATGTTGGGCTGCACTGAACAACTAAATTATTTCCATCACTGTATTTTTCACAATGAACAGAAGTGGTCTTCTACTCACCTCAGGCTATGCTGCCTGCCAGTGGTAGGCTTTAAACTGCATAGGGGCTGCATACAGAATAGTCAGCTGATGAATGGTTTGATAAATTAGGTGAGGAATAAATTCCATGTGGGTAGCTAAATTATTAGTGAAAGCCCTTTTCCTCTTCAACATACTGCTGCATTCACACAGTCCAGCTAAAAATAAGTTGTATCACTTCAATCAGTTGTTCTAAGTTTAAGCTGATTTTCTATTTTAGTCTTTTGTATTTTTTTGAAGTACTGCAAAAATGGAAAATAAATTAAGCTGTGAGTTTTACAGTTAAATGCTTACTATTACATATTTGTTTTCTGATATTGCACTATCTTCCATTGTAATTGAATCTGACCCTAAAAAAGACATCTATTTGCTTATCCTCCTGTTTCTCTTGCTTCAAAGAGGCAGAAAAAATATTCTTACAGTCATGTCAAATTTCCACACTGGTTAAAACAATCATGATTAGCTATGTGGATCAAAAAGTGTGCTTCACAAAAATGCCTGATTAGCCAATCATAGCTTTTTCCCATTGTGTCTTTAAAAGACTGGACATAAACATTGTTATTTAGGTAACTTATGATTTGTTACTTAATGAACAAACTTTCCAATCCTGCTTTACTTCTGTGGTTTCCCTGATGCCATGATATGCACAAGTGGTTAGCTTGGATTTTTTTTAATAGTACTCATTGTTTCAAAGAGTACATTCCCACCTTGTTACCCTTGGAGCTAGTAGAAGAGCTAAATCATGATAGCTACAGCACTTCAGAATAGTAGGTCACCTGTCTTCTATTATAGAGTTCTAAGTATCATGGAGGGTCTTAATAATTGACTTTTGGGGGATAATTTTGATGCCAGGTGGGCTACAAGGAACATGTCTTCCCAGCATGCCTGCCACCTCATCTACTGGGACCCAAGGAGGACACTGTTGAGACTTTATCATCCCAGTCCTGAAGGGTGTTCTGACCAGGCCAGAGAGATTAACACTGTCAATTCCACAGGCTGAGGGTGTGATGTAGTGGGCTGGCTGCCGTGGGTACCACGACCCAGCAAAACAGGATGAGTCACTATGCCAACCGGTATGGCCAGACACCCCCCATGAGGAGGAACAAAGGAAGGTGGAATGCTGCCCTGGCTGGGGGGCAGGGCTGGAAGAGAGTGGGTTAGTGGCTGGCTGGGAGCATGAAGGAGACAGCCTAGGGAAAGGGGCTGGAGTTTAGGGGCCCAGTCTCCCCCATCTCAAGGTGGCCTGAGGCATCCTAGCCCAGCTCTGTGACCAGACTACATCTGTGCTGTGCTGTAACCTGGAGTGGCAATAAACTTCCTCTATTCCACCGGCTGGTGCAGTCTGTTTGTGCCGTTTCGGGGTGCAGGAGACGGGGGACCCCCAACGCGCCATCACAGAGGGTAAATCCTGAATGTCACCTGAAATGTGAGACGTAGGTTCCTGCTGTCACTTCCTCCCTCAAGTGTCATTTTTCCTTATCCCTTATTTCTTATCTTTCCTCTCTCTCTCTCTCTCTTTTCCTTTCTGTTTAATAATTGTTGGGCTTAGAAGGCCAAGGCTGCATGGCTGCCCTACACTCCTGTCAACTTCAGTAACAAATAGGGCAGAATCAAACACACAGCAGCGTCATTAACCAGACAGCCCGACTACGCACCTCAATTCTGACATTTTCTAACTCTTGTGTGCTTAATATTCTGTGTGTGTGTGAGAGAGAGGGAGCGAGCGAGAGAGAGATTTTTCTAGTTTTGTTTTTCCATGAGTTGGAACCATGCAGGCCATGGGTTCTGAGCAGGGTGAGACTTTAGATTCACAACACAGGCTTCTGCCACTTGAGCTAACAGAGTAATTAACAGCAGCTAAAGGTTGCCATTCTCTGTGTGAGCTGGCCATTAGAGGGAGATGAGGCATGTATTTTTTCCAGAAGGTTTCAAAACTATTTGCAGACAGCAAAGGAATTCTGGGCCATATCACATTAATTACATATTACAAAGAGAAAATGATGACACATCCAAAATCTGGTCCTTGCTCTATGTAGTAGATAATATGGTGAGTATGTTTAATAGCACATTGTTTTTATTATGAGGAATTATCTGTGAGGTTTTATTTTCAGACCCTTACCCACTAAGAAGACATAAATATTACGTTAAACTAAAGAAAAAGACCCATTAGTGACAACATAACCTTTTTCTCTCTATTTTCTAACATCGGTGTCTTCTTCCCATACCTCTTTTACACCTAGGTCAGATGTGGCAATTTTGTACAATGATCGCTCTGTGCTTGAAAACCATCATGTAAGTGCTGCTTACAGACTTATGCAAGAGGAAGACATGAACATCCTGGCAAACTTAAGCAAAGATGACTGGAGGTAAGAGTTATTGGGACATTAAGATGACTACAATAAATAAAATGGGCAGGTATTCTCCTGTGCACTTCATTTTGAGTACATCTACACATTGACTTGGGGCTGGCATTTCCAGCTTGAGGACACATGCTCATGCTAACTTTCTTTGAGGTCCACTTTTGTTCCTCCATTCTAGCTCATCTCATCTGAGTATGTACCCATTCAAGACCCACACTACATACTCAGGGCAGCTAATCTGTCCTGCTGTCATGGCTTCATTCTGTTTTTAGCAAGGTGCTAACTCTGAGAGCTAGGGCAAGTATGTCTCCTCAAGTTCATACCACCAGCCTGAGGTTTAGAAATGCCTTTTGAGTTCTAGCTGAAACTGAAGAAGCCTTGGAAATGAAAGCATTTATGTGCATTGGAACTTAGTATTTAAAAAGATTATCAGAATTGGAACTGACATTTCACAATAACTTGAACCACAATATCATAAATGATAATTTTCAGGACTGCCTTGAGGTCTTCCATTATTAAGAAGATTGCAGTGGTGTGCAACAGTGCTTGCAGAGCAGACAAAATACAAGCCTCCCGTGTTTCTGTTGATATAGCTAGAAGTATCCCTAAAATGTCTAATCGGTAGCTGTGTTGTGGTATCACTGGCAGATGTGCTGCACCTGGAGAACGTTGCTTCTGTGAGTGGGGTCACTAAAGAGAGAGAGCCAAATTCTGCTCACCATTATATCTGAACAATCTATTTGTCTCATTGGACTTGCATGATGTGAGAACAGAGCTTGGCCCAGCATGCACAAAAAGCTTCAGTACTGGCCCAGACTGAAACCTTTCTGTGTAACACTTTCTTATTTGCATGTATTCTTTTATTTCCTTTTTGGCAATTGCTAGACAATTCAATTGCATGTTGCTTATTTCAGAGATGGAATATGTAAAACTGGCTTATAGACACTCAAGGTATTAATATTTAACAATATAAGGAATTAAAACCTATTGATTTATAATCAATTAATTATCCTTAATTGTTGCAGGCCCCTTTGTACATACAGTATTTTTTTTGCTCTCTGTAACTAAGGCAGACTGCTAAATGTTTTTGATTTTTTTTCTCTCAGAGCATACAGCACTCATTCGTTATTCTTAAATTCTTTAAATGAATTCAGTTCTAGCCAAAGATCAGTAGCTCTGGAAGCTGATTTTAAACATGTGGAATGAGAGTATTATCTTACCCATGCTCCCTTTCCCAGTGTGACTTAACCTTGTTCTGGAAGCTTCTACCGTCTCTCAGATTGAAAGGATATTTCAGCCTCTGTGATCTCTCCACTTAGACTGACGCTGAATATGAAGTCTCAGAGGGGTAGTCATGTTAGTCTGTAACTTAAAAAAAATTCCTCAGAGACAAACAAATATATCTATATCTATATCTATATCTATATCTATATCTATATCTATATATCATGAGCTTTCATGGGCACAACCTACTTCTTCGGATGAGTAAAGCAAAAGGGTCAGAACCTCCAAATTTAAAGAAAGGAGGAGTGGAGGAAAAACCCCCTGTCAATTGTAATGCTCGGGCTAAATGAGACGAATAGAGTGGGCTGTAAGTGTCCCATACTTAGCTTTTTATGTCATTTGGGTGTTGATTATAATGGTCCACCCAGTTCATGTCTTTGTTCAGTCCCTGGGAGGTGGTGTCAAATTTGCATATGAAAGCCAGTTCTGCAGTCTCTCTCTGTAGTTGGTTCCTGAAATTACTTTGTAAAAGAATGCCTACTTTTAAATCCATTAATGAGTGCCTGGGCAGGTTAAAATGTTGCCCCCAACAGATTCTGTGTGTTGCCATTTCGAATATCTGAGTTGTGTCCATTAATCCTTTGTCATAAAGACTGTTCAATTTAACCAAAATACATGGCAGAAGGGCATTGCTAGCACTTGATGGCTTAGATCACATTAGAGGATGTGCGGTTGAATATGAAGAAAGTGATAGTTTTTTAGGGATGTAGAATAGCTAGCAAATAACTTTCAGATACTGATGCTTTTCAGCCCCCATCAATATGGGTCATGTAGAACCTTTATGCCATTTACTTGAATACATGGAGTAAGTAACTAAACCTTTTATTTTTATTTTTTTTATATTTGAAAAAAATATTATTTTAATTTTTTTCCGGAGGGATTTTATCCTAGATAGAGGTTTGTCACGTTCATTAATATGCTATTTACATACCTATAGAGACATAGGACTAGAAATTGGTTTAGCTGTGCTGTGGTCAATAAAGGACAAGGGCAAAGATGCCTCTGTGCTTCCCTTTTCCTTGGGGTCACTAAGGACTATGTAAGTCCCCAACCTAAATCAGTGCAATTTAAATACTGCCTGAATTTACACCCAGTTGCCCCCATCTGAGGCCACTCTAGCAGTCTAGGATCAATAGGGCTCAGTGCATCCCAACCACTCTTCTTTCCTTAGGTGGCTGGAGTGGGGAGATGGCAATAAAGCAGGGTCAGAGTCCCTATAACAGCAGAAGATTCCCCAGTGCTGTGACTAGTCTACAGAACCCATATCTGCACTGGCAGACTGGAGCAGAGCAGGTCTCAGGACCTGGGCTATAGCTGTGAAGATTTGGTAGCATATATATGTATTTCTAAAATGTTCATGTCTACCAAGACTGATCTATCTTCATAGTGACTTTCCTTGCTTTTCATGCTGCACTGTACTAAATGTATCTCCTTTATGTGCTCTCTCTCTCTATGGCGTGCTTTAGTGCTAATTTAGTGTGCTCTTTTATAAGTTGTTCCGCTACTCTCCAATTGTGCTTGCATTTGCTTTTGAAATTCCTTTAATTGTGACTTATTCTGTATTTCGTGGATGAATTTATTTTGGTGGTGATATAGCATAGATATTTGTACCAGAAATTCTTTATATGGACAGTTGCACAGTGCTCAGATTCTGCCCGTTGTGATGCTTGTGCAACCCATTTAAAGCCAGCTACGTTGCATGGAAGCTGTAGGGGGCAGAAATTTGTCCCTTTTAATGTGAGTATAATATATTTTATTTAATAGAGGCAGGAACCCTGATGATTACATTTAAGTAGGCATCATCAACTGTGAAGGCTTCTGAAAATTCTGCTAAGATATCACCAATATCCAGACATAAATAAATGGATTTCCCGACTTTAGCTAAAGTAGGGTCCCTAACTCTCTATTCGGTCACATAAATCAGCATTTAATATTGGTCCCTCTAATGAATCTGTGCGTGCTTCAGTCCTGATATGAATACCCATGCAATTTGCAGAACCAGTTGACCTAATTTTGAGGGTCAGGTTGGAAAATTATGATTGCCTGGTATTCATTTTGTGAGTTCAAAAATATTCTTGTTTCCCTGTTATTGTTTGCAGTGGTTCAATAGCACAGTGGAACATCCATTTAGCCCCTTGAAAGAAGCACTTCAGTTTTTTAAATTATTAATAGAATGAACTTTTTTATTCTCTTTATTAAAATTCATGCCATTAAAATAGCAGCTTTGAAGCTTACAATAAAGCAAATTACCAGTAAATTGAAATGATAATTTGTTCAGTTTTTTCAACACACTTCCTGTCTCTGATTCATTTCTTAAATACTGTCAGATCTGTTTTCTTCAGTTGTACAGGTTTTTTTAAATGCCCATTCCTGGTTAAACTATGGCTTTGCTAATTATTTCAGCAAGAGGGTAGGGGTATTTTGTTTTTGTTTTCTTGTGGGGTTTTTTGCATTACCATTTTTTCTACCTGTTACCATCAGGGAGGTAAATGTGCTAATAAACTGTCATCCTCAATTAAGTTTAAAACACAAGGTTTGGGTCTGAATCAGTGAACTGCTGCCAACATTGTAACAAAGGCTCTGTCAGCATGTGACATTCCCCAAATAATATAGTCTTTCTTCACTCCTTCTCTTATTCAACCCACTCTAAAACATCCTTTCCGTACTCTTCTTCCTCCCAAAAAATCCATTCATTCTTTCACCCCCAGTCTCTCTTTCCACCACATCCATTTTCTTTGATTGGACATGCTTCCCTCTTCCTGGAGTACAGTGATTCCTGTTGCAAGTGGCCCCTACCATGGCCTTACCACCTATTCTTTCTCTTCTACCTGAGGCCCTGCCCACTCCTCTTTTATTGAGCTCCCCAACCCCAGTTCTCTTCTTTCTCACAAGCCCTACCCCCAGTCCTGGCTGGAAATCAGAGCCAGGCTATGGTAAGAACCATCCAGACAGCCTGGGACCCTCTACCACTCCTGTGCAAGGGTTTGGGATGCCCTCTAGCCTGTGTCCTGACCCCTTTGGCTATGCTGTCCAAGACACAGGGAGGATCTGGGGCTCCCTGGATGGCTCTTATACCATCTCATAGAGCTGGAAGGGACCTTGAGGAGTCATTGAGTCCAGTCCCCTACCTTCACAGCAGGACCAAGTACCATTCCTAAATGCCCCCCCTCAAGGATTGAGCTCACAATGCTGGGTTTAGCAGGCCAATGCTCAAACCACTGAGCTATCCCTCCCCCCTTGCCTGACTCTGGCTTCTGGCCTGGCCAGGAGTGAGGCCACGGGAGGAGGGTGGGGAGAGGAGCAGGGCATGGAGTCTCATGGCAAGCAGAAGCTAAAGCCAATCTGAGCCCCTTCTTCCCACCAGGAAGAGGCTGGTGCTGCCCCTGAGCCTTGGTTGAACTCAGAGCAGCATTGCAGAGAATCCAGGACAAATGCTGTCTGCAGTCAGTCAGCTCAGGACTGAGACTTGAACTCAGCATTTTGGAACTGTCCTACCCAATTTGGTGGTTACCTGAGTGTCAGGTACTTGATGAAGTGGGCAGCAGGTCCCTTCTAATGATTCACTTGGGAGATCTCTGATGGGGCTGGATGTGACCAGAACTTTCTTACTTGAGGTGAGTGGCAGAAGGGAGTGAATGTGAAATCTCCTGGCAGAAGGCAGTGGATGAAGGTGGCATGATTCTCCTGATGATGGTGAATCAGGGTGAGCTCCAGTTTTCCTT